GAGCTGCGCCTCCTCTTTCTGACACTGCTTCTTCTGCCGTAGTCCTCCCCTTGCATTATACCTATGGCGCTCAACCTTCTTCTTCTTCTTCCTCTTCTTCGTCCCTTCGTTTGATTTCTCTCCAGCGGCCATGGAATTCGAGATTACCCATCACCGTCTTTTTGACTGAGAACTGAGAACATCGTGTTTTTTCAGATGGGGGTGGAGATGAAACGCTTCGTTCTCATTTTCATTGTCTCCTTCCAGCTCTGCATTTCGAGCTCCAATGGCGTTGCAGACCCAAATGATGTTAGTATAGAGAGAGAAAGCTTGCTTGCTTTCAAAGCTGCGCTTGAGAACTCCGAAATTCTCCCATGGAACTCATTGGTTCCTCATTGCTCTTGGGCTGGCGTTTCTTGCCGACTCGGTCGAGTTACAGAGCTCTCTCTTTCGTCTCGTTCGCTCAAAGGCCAACTCTCTCCTTCTCTCTTCAACATTTTGAGCCTCATGGTTCTTGACCTTTCCTCCAACTCCCTCCACGGCTCAATCCCACCTCAGATATCCAATCTCCGGAGCTTGAAGGTGCTCGCTCTCGGCGGAAACCAGTTTTCTGGCGACTTCCCTGTCGAACTCACTGAGTTGACCCAGTTGGAGAATCTCAAGCTGGGGACTAATTTATTCACAGGTGAAATCCCGCCGGAGCTTGGTAATTTGAAGCTGCTACAGACGCTCGACCTCTCCGGCAATGCCTTCGTCGGGAATGTTCCGGCCCACATCGGAAACTTGACGAGGATTTTATCCTTGGACCTCGGCAACAATCTCTTATCAGGTTCACTCCCATTGACCATCTTTACTGAGCTTAAATCTCTAACTTCTTTGGACATTTCGAACAACTCGTTTTCTGGTTCAATCCCACCTGAAATTGGTAACCTACAGCATTTAACCGACCTTTATATCGGCATTAACCACTTTTCTGGTGAGTTGCCTCCTGAAGTTGGGAAACTTGCATTGCTCGAGAACTTTTTCTCGCCTTCTTGTTCTCTCACGGGTCCATTGCCTGAAGAACTATCCAAGTTGAAATCATTGAGCAAACTTGACCTTTCATACAACCCACTTGGCTGCTCTATCCCAAAATCAATCGGCGAGTTGCAGAACCTGACTATACTGAATCTGGTTTACACAGAACTTAATGGTTCCATTCCTGCGCAACTTGGAAGGTGCAGAAATTTGAAAACATTGATGGTTTCGTTCAACTTTCTATCTGGGGTGTTGCCACAAGAGCTTTCAGAACTTCCCATGTTGACATTTTCTGCCGAGAAGAATCAGCTTTCTGGGCCACTACCCTCCTGGCTCGGCAAATGGAATCATGTCGATTCTATTTTGCTCTCAAGCAATCGGTTCACTGGGAAAATCCCACCTGAGATTGGAAACTGTTCAATGCTTAAGCACCTTAGTTTGAGTAATAACTTGTTGGCAGGTCCGATACCTAAAGAAATCTGTAATGCTGCATCCTTGATGGAGATTGATCTTGACAGTAACTTCCTTTCAGGTACGATTGACGACACATTTGTGCAGTGTAGAAACCTTACAGAGTTGGTTTTGGTAGACAATCAGATTGTTGGTACAATACCAGAGTACTTCTCAGACCTTCCCCTACTGGTAATCGACCTCGACTCTAATAATTTTACTGGTTCTTTACCGAGAAGTATATGGAACTCAGTAGATTTGATGGAATTCTCTGCTGCAAATAACCGGTTGGAGGGTCATCTCCCTTCAGAAATCGGTTATGCAGCTTCACTTGAGAGGCTTGTTCTCAGCAACAATAGGTTGACAGGTACAATACCAGATGAGATTGGAAATCTCACAGACCTTTCTGTTCTAAATTTGAATTCAAATCTGCTTGAAGGTACTATTCCATCCTTGCTTGGAGATTGCAGTAAACTTACCACATTGGACCTTGGGAACAATAGTTTGGACGGGTCCATCCCGGAAAGACTTGCAGACCTTACTGAATTACAGTGCCTAGTTCTTTCACACAACAAGTTATCTGGAGCAATACCTTTCAAGCCGTCTGCGTATTTTCGACAGATGACTATTCCTGATTTGAGCTTTGTCCAGCATCATGGTGTTTTTGATCTGTCTCACAATAGATTGTCTGGTACCATACCAGATGAACTGGGGAAATGTGTGGTAGTGGTTGATCTTTTACTAAGCAATAATCTGCTTTCTGGAGAAATTCCCAGATCTCTCTCTCACTTAACAAACCTGACAACCTTGGATCTGTCTGGTAATATGCTTACTGGTCCTATTCCCACAGAGATCGGGGATGCTCTCAAGCTCCAAGGCCTATATCTTGGGAATAATCAGCTCACTAGAACGATCCCCGAAAGCCTGAGTCATTTGAATAGCTTGGTAAAGTTGAACCTAACTGGTAACAAGTTATCTGGTTCGGTTCCAAAAAGTCTTGGTGATCTGAAAGCATTAACTCATTTGGATTTAAGTTCCAATGAGCTGGATGGTGATCTTCCTTCTTCTCTGTCCAGCATGTTGAATCTTGTGGGGCTTTATGTACAAGAGAACAGGCTTTCTGGTCTGGTTGTTGAACTTTTCCCAAGTTCCATGACATGGAAGATTGAAACTTTGAATTTGAGTAGTAACTATTTCGAGGGTGTACTTCCACGAACATTGGGCAATCTTTCATACTTGACAACTTTGGATCTTCATGGGAATAAGTTTACAGGGCCGATCCCTTCTGAACTTGGGGATCTTATGCAACTCGAGTACTTTGATGTTTCGAAAAACAGGCTCTCAGGAGAGATTCCAGAGAAGATATGCAGCGTGGCCAATATGTTTTACCTGAATTTGGCTGAAAACAGTCTAGAAGGCCCGATTCCAAGAAGTGGCATTTGCCAGAATCTGTCCAAGACTTCACTTGCAGGTAACAAGGACCTTTGTGGGAGAATCATGGGTTTCAATTGCCAGATCAAAAGCTTGGAGAGATCTGCAGTCTTGAATGCTTGGAGCCTTGCTGGAATTATCGTCGTAAGTGTTCTTATTGTTCTTACCGTGGCATTCGCTATGCGGAGACAGATTATTAGAAACCACAGAGATAATGATCCAGAGGAAATGGAGGAAAGCAAACTAAACAGTTTTATAGATCCAAATCTCTATTTCTTAAGCAGCAGCAGATCGAAAGAGCCTTTAAGCATCAACGTGGCCATGTTCGAGCAGCCCCTTTTGAAATTAACCTTGGTTGATATCCTCGTAGCAACCAATAACTTCTGTAAAACGAACATTATTGGAGATGGAGGATTTGGGACCGTGTACAAGGCCACTTTGCCTGATGGAAAAATTGTTGCTGTGAAGAAGCTTAGCGAAGCAAAAACGCAGGGGCACAGAGAATTTATTGCTGAAATGGAAACTCTAGGTAAAGTAAAACATCATAATCTTGTTTCACTGCTTGGCTACTGCTCTCTTGGGGAGGAGAAGCTCCTTGTCTACGAGTATATGGTGAATGGCAGCTTGGATCTTTGGCTGAGAAACCGAATCGGAACTCTTGAAGTCCTTAACTGGGAGACTCGCTTCAAAGTCGCTTCCGGTGCAGCCCGTGGATTGGCATTTCTTCACCATGGATTCATCCCCCACATCATTCACAGAGATATCAAAGCAAGCAATATACTCCTCAACGAAGACTTCGAGCCAAAAGTTGCTGACTTCGGGTTGGCGAGACTGATCAGTGCTTGTGAGACTCATGTCACAACTGAGATTGCTGGAACCTTTGGCTACATCCCACCGGAGTACGGGCAGAGCGGGAGGTCTACCGCGAAAGGAGACGTTTATAGCTTTGGTGTGATTCTACTGGAACTGGTAACTGGGAAGGAACCAACAGGACCTGACTTCAAAGAGATTGAGGGTGGAAATCTGGTTGGTTGGGTGTTTCAGAAGATCAAGAAGGGTCAGGCTGCGGACGTCCTCGACACGACAGTTCTGAATGCTGATTCGAAGCATATGATGCTTCAAACTCTTCAGATTGCTTGTATTTGCCTGTCAGAAAATCCTGCTAACAGACCTTCCATGCTTCAGGTACTGAAGTTCCTCAAAGGGATAAAGGATGAGTAGAATTTAGAGTTTGTTAGTGTTGGGACTTAGTAGGGGGGAAACAAAAGATTGAATAACACTGTAAAAAGAAGTATTTAGTGAGGAAGAGGATATGGTGAAAAGGTTCAGAGTTGTAATAGTTTTTATCTGCTAATCTAATCTAATCAATCACATGTTTGTGTTTCTCATCATCTTCATCACAGTAATCACTCTGCTGAATGTGTGGAACTAATCTGTCCATTTGATATATGGGTCAAATTTCAAACCAACAAAATAGATCGAACCGAGTTCATTGTGTTTGAACAACGTGATTGTCGACTCAAAACTTAATCGATTGGTTCGAGTTGTATGATTCATTGTTTTCAGAAATAAGTTTCAGTTTAGTGATTCTTATTATTATTGTATTTATTTAAGAATGATAAGTTTTCTCAGTATTTATATGATCGGATGTAAAGTAAAATATTAGTGCTTTTGAAGATGGAAAAATGGAAAGACTAAAAACTGAAGAAAGAATGCAGAAGAGGGAAGATGTATTGAAACTTCCTTAATTGGTGGCTCACGTGCCAAAGATTTACGGCACGTGCTATCTCCCCCTCCCATCTGGAGACATGATTCCCTGCATCCTGAACTAGAGCCTTAATAGTTGATACGTTATCCTAGCCGTTAATTACAGATCCATTTGATTCCCTTAGTGGACCTGATTAAGCCACGTATTCTGATTATCGACGTTATTTTGACAATGTGACCGCTCTGATTTCACCTCCGATCTATCCGGCGATTGAAGCCGCGAAGTAGTATCACCCTCCGCCGCCGCCGCCCTCTCCCGGTGTTCCCTCGGTCGCTTGGCTCCGACGGGCGCGCCGATCGGATTTCTCTCCGCCTTTTCGTCTTCGCCGGAAGACTGCTTCATCGGGAAAAGATTGAGCGATGTCCTTGATGTCAAAACGCTCTCTCTCACTTTGAAACTGCTCTCGAATTGGTTTTCAACGAAGCTCGACATCAGAGAGAAGATATTGTTGCACAGAGATTTCACCTCGACCAATTGTTCTGTAAGCCGGACTTTCTCTTTTCTCAGCCGATCATTCTCGTCGATCAGCTCTGCAATAGCTCTCGCAGGAGTTGCATTCGACGAAATAACTTGGTCTTCACCGTAATTTCCCGTCAATGTTAGTACTTGCGTCGTCGGAATTGCAGTCGGAGTCGCCAATTTACGACGTTGAATCTCACATAGAAGTTGTTTCTCGCCTCTGCGGAAGCACTCGTTCGCGAATTCGCAGCGGTCCGATACAACCTTTCTGAATCCCTAAAAAAAATCCGAAAACAAAGGTAAATCCAACACGAAGCAGGATTTCGAGGAAAAAAGGAAAACAGCAGTGAAATTGAAATCTGGTAGAAGATTGATTACATAAGTATTGAGCTGGCGGAGAAAGCTAGTGAAGTTATTATGCTTGAAATACTTGGGCAGCAAATCTCTAGCAAAAGCCATGGTGTTCCAAACGATGAAAGTGGATCCATCGTCGTTCCACGAAATTACATGGTCGATCGTCTCGTCGTCAACGAGCTGATACGTTTTCGTCAAGAAAGGAGTGGGCACAGATCTGTGTGAATCGGCGCCAACCGTCGCCTTGCCGCTCGCCTCCCCCATCAACCAATACCTCGAGAAAAAGCTTCGTCAAGTGAATTTGCAGGATTTGCAATTCTAGAAAGTTCGTGGAAGTTGAAGAAGAATTTATGGGGGGAGACGACGGAGAAGAGAATATTGGCTTAGAAGGTGTGCGATTGAGAAATTTCGTCGAAAGGGTTTAAAGGTGTCAGTGACGATCCAGAGACGGAGGCGGCCAGCGCCAGGACGCATACATTATTTCATTATTATTCTTTCTTATTTATAATTTAACTTAATTATATGAACTGAACTTAGCTTAGC